GAGGTGGTGGTGGTGGCGGGGAGCAGCCCTCGAGGTGGTGGTGGTGGGGAGCTGCCCTCTTGAACCGCTGCAGTCCATGTCCATGTGGTGGACCCACAATGCCATTAGGGAGGGAATTCCAGGATTTTGACCCAGTGACAGTGAAGGAACGGCGATATGTTTCCAAGTCAGGATGGTGAGGGGCTTGGAGGGGAACTTGGACGGAATGGTGTTCCCATGTATCTGCTGCCCTTGTCCTTCTTGACAGTAAAGGTTTCAGATTTGGAAGGTGCTGTTCAAGGAGCCTGAGCGAGATAGTACACACTGAGAATTGATGGTGAAGACAGTGAATGTTGAAGGTGGTTGATGTGGTGCCAATCAAGCAGCCTGCTGTGTCCTGAATTGTGTCAAGTTATTTTTTGAACGTTGAAGCCACAGCCAATAAAGTGGAAGATACTCTATCGTACTCCTTTGATGGTGGATGGGCTTTTGGGAAGGCAAGTACATTATTAAAATCTTCAACCCTTGTGCTAATTTCTCAGAGAGCAGCTTTACAGTCAACCAAATTGCTGTGGCTCTGGAGTCACATGTAGGCCAGACCAGGTGAGGATGGCAGATATTTCTTTCCCCTAGAAAGGGGATTAGTGGTGGGATTCGAATCCATGCCCTCTGAACACTGGCTTGGACCTCTGGATTACTGGTCCAGTGACATTACATCTCCGAGATAGTAGGAACTGCAGATGCTGGAGAATCTGAGATAACAAGGTGTAGAGCTGGATGAACACAGCAGGCCAAGCAGCATCAGAGGAGCAGGAAGGCCCATTACATCTCCTCCTGCTCTACTGGCGGATAATTCATCTCAGAATCTGAGGCTTTCTTTCCTTGTAGCCGCACGATTTACAGAAATTGCTGAAGAAACTCAGCAACATCTGTGGAGCAAGAGGTTCTTCAGTCACATTGTACTCGAAACATTAACTCTGATTCTGTCTCCAAAAGGTCCTGCCGAGTTTTTTTTTAAAATGTCTTGCCTGTGTTTGTTTCAGATTTCCAGCATCAGCAGTATTTTGCTCTTATTTGAGCTGCTGTAATGATATAACTGCTCCAGTTGAGTTTCTGGTTAAGGGTAGCTTTCATAATGTTGATGGTGCATTCAGTGATGGTAATATCATATCATTCAGTGATGGTAATATCATTCAATGTCAAGAGGCAATGGTTAGATTCAGTTTTGTCATTCCCTGGCACTTGTGCAGTGCAAATGTTATTCCTCATTTAACAAGCCAAGTCTGGATGCTAGCTAGGTCCTGGTACACATTTGAACTCCTTTAGTACCTGAGGAGTCGCAGATGATGCTGAACATTGTGCAGTCGTCAGTGAGTATCCCCACTTCTGACCTTATGATGGAGAGAAGGTCATCGATGAAGCAGCTGAAGATGGTTGGCCAAGGAGGAACTCCTGCAGAGATGTCAAGAAGCTGAGATGAACAACCACAGCCATCGTCCCCTTTGCAGGTGTAGAGATCTCCCAGACATCCTCGATGCCAGACTCCTGTCAAAACTTGCCTTGGCATCAAATGCAGCCTCTCTCGTGCCACCCCCAAAGAAAAGTTGAGAACACATGGGCTGGCCAATCAACTCATCCAGCTGCCATTTATAGCTACAGGGAGAGACATTCTGAGGAGCAGGCGGTCAGTACTGGAGCGAGAGACGATACTGGAACAACTTACCCAAACAATATACTAGCATCCAGCACTATTCCACTCAGTAGTCCCTTGTCATAATCCGGTTTTCCCTTTCCCAGTGCCCTCTATAATTCCAAATCTGTCCCTCTTTAAATTTCACAAATCCCTTTCCCAGCACGAGCATGCTTGAGTATATCAGACAATTAAGGGCACATGCAGACGTTTATTTAGTTTTAATTATTGTTGCTGTACAATTACTAATACAGCTGTTCAGAAAGCATTACAATAGCAAAACAGGAAATGCCTGAACTTCACTGTCAAGAAACAGGAACCATTGGCTGAAACAGGCAGTAGGTCCTGGGAGAGAGCTACCGCCTGGAGAGAGGGATAACATTCGGAGGATTGGGGGGAGGGAGGGGGGGAATGCAAGTGGGCCTGAAGAGAAGAGTCTGCATTTAATGTTTGTCATAAGTGCAGGGCAGTGGGGGTGTCCTTCCAACGTGAGAAATGCAGTTTCCCCCAAAAATGCCTTGCTCGCCAACGTGTGAAGCAATGGGCTGAGAGAGAGCCTGGGACCCAGGGTCGAGGAGGGGGTTCTGAGAGAGAGTTCTGACCCAATGATCTGGAATGCAGTGGGATTAGCAAATCCCTGCATTGCTCCCGTTCCCCCACTCCAGAGTGGCTATCCCGAACGCAGAAGGTGACCTTCTGCTCCTTGGATTCGAGGCAGAGCTCTGATTGCACACCAGGAACAGTGAAAACTGGGGCGACCTCTCCCTCCTCCACTTCCCACAAACACAGCCAAGGCAACGCTTGTTCCAGACGTGCCCCTCACACACTCCTGCCCCCCCACTCTCAGGGCAGTTTCTACCCCACTCCCCCTGTAAATACTCGTGTCCCAGCCCCTGCACCAGTTAGAGAGAGTCACCCAACAAACCTGTGTCAAAACCAAGACCCTGCCCCTTCCCTGAACCCCGGGCCCCATCACTTCTGCACGGGGGAGGTGGGGCAGTCAGATCTTTCTTCATTTCGGCCCAATCACATTTCCCTCCCCTCCACCCCCTTTCAAACAGTTATAGACAAATGCACAACATCAGAACTCGAACTTTGAAACGAACTAAAAATAAAACCAACAACGCAAGCTAGTCGGAACAGACATGTGATAATGGATGGGAACAGCTCCACCCGGTCCTGGTCCCCTATGCCCCTCCCTTGGAGCTGGGCCTCAGCTGGTGCGTATCTTCTTGGCCGAGGGCTCCTCTGTTTTCTGAAGCCACATCTGCATCAGTCCCACGCTGCTCTTCTTCGGCGTCTCCACTTTCACAGTTTGCTGGTTCCCAGAGCCGGCTTCTTCCTTCTTCGGAGAGTTTTGTAGCCAGTTCATCATTAGCTTACTGCTGGCGGTGGGTTTGATCTCCTGCAGAAACACACAGAACACTAAATAAAAAAAACTCAAAAGAACTGCGGATGCTGTAAATCAGGAACGAAAACAGAAGTTGCTGGAAAAGCTCAGCAGGTCTGGCAGCATCTGTGAAGACAATAAAATCAGAGTTAACGTTTCGGGTCCGGTGACCCTTCCTCAGAATACAGAACACCAAACTCACTGCTATGCCTATATCACTTCTGGGGATTTTTTAAACCAACATTTGGATCTGGAAATGTTTTTTCAAAAACAAGAATACAGGCTCATATATAATATACAAAGAGGTTGTACAGGCCATTTGTGACAAGTACTGTCTACAGTTCTGGTCACCTTGTTAGATGAAGGATATTATGAAATTGAACAGGATGCAGAAATGATATACCAGGATTTGCTGCGAATGGATGCTTTGAGTTATAAGGACAGGCTGGGACTTTTTTCACTGGAGCATAGGAGGTTGAGCAGTGACCTTATAGAGGTTTAAAAATATCATGAGGCGCATGTATAGGCTAAATAGCAAAAGTCTTTTCCCCAGGGCAGGGGAGTTCAAGGCTAAGGGGCATATTTTAAGGCAAAAGGAGAAAGATTTAAAAAGGACATGACAGCAACTTTTTTTTTTGTTTACACAGAGTGGCTTGTGTTGGAATGAACTTCCTGAGGAAGTGGTGGATGAAGGTACAGTTACAATGTTTAAAAGACATTTGGAGAGGTACATGAATAGGAACGGTTTGGAGGGATATGGGCCAAGCGCAGGCAGGTGGAACTAGTTTAGTTTGGGAACATGGTTGGACCGAAGGGTCTGTTTCCGTGCGAATGACTCTATGGATCAGTTAGTACCATATTCACTGGAGTTTCAAAGAATGAAAGGTGGGGGGTAGAATCTCAGAGAAACGTGTAAAATTCTAAGAGGATGAGACAGGGTAAACAGGAAGGATGTTCACATATTTCTGAAGAAGGGTCCCAACTCAAAACTTCAACTTTCCTGCTCCTCTGACACTGCCTGGCCTGCTGTGCTCCTCCAGCTCCAATTGTCACATGTACTGAGATACAGTGAAAAGTATTGTTGAGTGCTAACCAGACAAATCATACCTTAAATAAGCACGTCACGGTAATAGAACAGAATGCAGAATGTAGTGTTACAGCTACAGAGAAGGTGCAGAGAAAGATCAATTCTAATATATGAGAGGTCTGTTCATAAGCCCGATAACAGAGGGGAATCTGTTCTTAGGGAATGTGGGCATTGCTGGGGAGGCCAGCATTTATTATACATCCTGAGCTATCCACAAGACAATTTAGAATCAATCACATTGCTGTGGGTATGGATTCACAGGTAGGCCAGACCAGGTAAGGATTTCCTCTCCAAAATGGGAAGGACCAATGGGCTTTTTCAACAAACAGCAATAGTTATATGGTCACTATTAGGCCAGCTTTTTAATTCCAGATTTTTATCAAATTCAAATTTCACTACCTGCCGTGGTGAGATTTGAACCCATTTCCCCAGAACATTAACCTGGGGCTGTAGATTATACTCATCCCAGGAACATTACCACAACAGCACATTGTTTCCCTCATGGTGACCATAAATCATCATCAATCGTTGTAAAAACCCGCCTGGTTCACACACGTCAATTAGGGAGAGAAATCTGCCATCCTTACCTGGTCGAGACCAACGTGTGACCCCAGGCCCACAGCAATGTGGTTAAGTTTTAACTCTGGGAAATGAAGGATGGGCATTAATTACAGCAGAGCCAGGGATGCTCACATCCCAGGAATGAATTTAAAAAGCAAAAGATGCAGTTAAGCTATATGCTTCTTTCTTGTACAGAGCCAACTTCAGAGGCTGAATGTATTGAAAATTTTGAGAACCGTTATGTCTCAAGCAGCCATGCAAAAAACAAACCATTTAACAGGGGCAGAAGTAAAAGTGCATGCAATCATCACCTAAAAACAGCTCAAATCTATTTTGTCTGGAATCGCTGCTTAATAAACCTTAATTGTGCTGCCAACTGCACTTATGAAAAACAATTTTAGACTGAAAGCTGGGGACATGTACTTGTCAAATAAATTAATCTCATGGTTTAAAGTGTGCAAAAATTGTAGTTGGCTCAATTACTTTTTTTTTTAAAATAAAGGCTCTTTAAAGGCACAAATTAAAGGCAGTGTCCTGCAAATATATTCCTTTGTTTGGTAAATTCTTCCACTGCACCAGACGACGACTTTCTATTTCCACGGGAAGACGAGGCACAAGTATTTACCACAAGATGACACTGTTGAGCCACGTTTTCACAATCACCGAACAGAGAAAGAGAGAGAAAATAAAACTGCAACCAGCCTCACCCTCTCCAACAAAAAACCCCAACACATTTATACCTCAGTCCTGCTCTGCTAGGAAACCAATTACTGCAGCATTCAAATACATCTCGTCCTCAGCTTTTGGTTTTACAAACGTTTATCAGAGGAATCAAAGATCTCTTTGAATGTACAAAATAGAAACGTAAGCAGGCCATTCGGGCTCCCCCTCTCCCTTGAGCCTGCCGCACCTTTCAATCAGATTGTGGCTGATCGCTCTGTGTTTCGAATTTCCATTGACCATCACTGACACTCGATTCACTGTCAAGTAAGAATTCAGCCACCTCTGCTTTAAGAATACTAAATAACCCACCTCAAACACCTTCCGAAGCGCAGAGCTCCAAAGCTGCTCAACCATCAAGAAGAAAATTTCCCAACTCTATCCTGCTCGAATCAAAGAAACTCCACAGTGTGGGAAGAGGTCATTCGGCCTGTCGAGTCTGCACCAACCCTCCAAAGGAGATCCCACACAGACATAGCCACCTACCCTAGCCCTGTAACCCCACATATTCCATGGCTAATCCACCTAGCCTGTACACCCCTGAACACTACGGGCAATTTAGCATGGCCAATCCACCTAACCTGCACATCTTTGGATATTATGGGGCAATGTAACATGGCGAATCCACCTAACCTGCACATCTTTGGACTGTGGGAGGAAACCGGAGCACCCAGAGGAAACCCATGCAGACACAGGGAGAATGTGCAAACTCCACACAGTCACCTGAGGGTGGAACCTCTGGTGCTGTGAAGCAGCAGTGCTAACCATTGAGTCACTGTGCCAGTCATTTTAGGGCGACGCTTAATTCTAAATCAATGTTCCCCCAGTTCTGGATGGACTCAAAGTACAAACATCCTTTTCAAGTCCACCTTGTCAAGACTGTTCAGGATTTTTGAATGGCAAAGCAGGCTTGAGGGGCTGAATGGCTTATTTCTCTCTCATTTCACATGTGTGCGCGCAAATTGGAGGGTGGAAGTGGCAAAAACATGAGAGATTCCCACCCTGTCAACATTGACTCCCTTCAAAATCCCTGCGCAGTCACAGCAGTGTATACCATCCGTCTACATGATGCACTCACCAAAGATCCCTAGGCTGCACCATCTTTCAGCCAACTTCTAACCCATCAATCCCAAACATTTCTAATGTGCTAATCAACCAGCCATGCTTTCTGAAAGTCCAAATATACCACATCCATAGCACTGCATCCACTGCAAAATAAAATCGCTAAAGATACTCAGACAGCAACTTTCAAACTCACAACCACTTCCATCTAGAAGGACAAGGGCAGCAGATACATGGGAACACCACCCCCTGCAAGTTCCTCTCCAAGCCACTCACCATCCTGACTTGGAAATATATCGCCGTTCCTTCACCATCATTGGGTCAAAATCCTGGAATTCACTTCCTAATGGCACTGTGGGTCCAGCCACAGGTGTGGTCTGTAGCGGTTCAAGAAGGCAGCTCAGCACCACCTTCTCAAGGGGCAACTAGGGACGGGCAAGAAATGCTGGGCCCAGCCAGCAATGCCCACGTCCCATGAAATAATTTTAAAAAAATAAATGGTTCTGTATTAAAGGACAGTGCCCGGCACCTTTCGGCCCCACTCCCTACCCAATCCCTTAGACATCCTGGACCTGAGTAGATACGTTGTCAGCAAACTCTAATGGGCAGCAAGGGGCTGCCAATCTCGAAATCTGACCAGAAGTTTGCAGGGAGCGGGGACCCATGTGCCTAGGCTAAACATCTGGGAGGCAGAGGGAAGTGTGGGCTGTGAGACACAGGGGAGGCAGGTGGTCATCCTGGAGGGAGAGGCCTCATTGCAATGTTCCTCAATATCCTGCATCCATGAAGAGAAAATAAAGCTGCAGTACATTGGATAAACATATGGATGATAATGGAATAGTTTAGGTTAGATGGGCTTCAGATTGGTTTCACAGTTCGGCGCAACATCGAGGGCCGAAGGGCCTGTACTGCGCTGTAATGTTCTATGTTCTATGATCTACAGCAGCAGAGAATGGCAATGGCAACTGTGATGCAGTCTACAGTTAAATAGGGCGCACCATATCTGGAGAATAAGCAAGGTATTAGAAAAGGCCACGAGCTCAGACTAAGTCCCTCAGCATGGTGGCCCAGTGGTTAGCACTGCTGCCTCACGGTGCCAGGGATCCAGGTTCGATTCCACCCTCGGGCAACTGTCTGCGTGAGTTTTTTTCCAGTTGCTCTGGTTCCCTCCCACAGTCCAAAGAGGTGCAGGATAGGTGGATTTGCCAATGTGGAGTTGTTGGGATGGTTGGTGCAGTACCGATGGGCCGAATGAGCTCTTTCTGCACTGTAGGGATTCTGATTCTTAGAAAGAGTTAAGAGGTTCAGAAAAATTGGGGAGCTGCGGCAGGAGAAGGGGGCTATGAAAGAGAAACAAAAACACTCGAAAATTAAAATTACAAACATGCACTCTCCACTTCTGCAACAGAGTCATAGAGTTATACAGCATGGAAACAGACCCTTCAGTCCAACTTGTCCAGGCCGACCAGATATCCTAAATTAATTTAGTCCCATTTGCCAGCATTTGGCCCATATCCCTCTAAACCCTTCCTATTCATGTACCCATCCAGATGCCTTTTAAATGGTGTAATTGTACCAGCCTCCACCACTTCCTCTGGCAGCTCATTCCATACACGTGCCACACTCTGCGTGAAAATGCTACCCCTCAGATCCCTTTTAAATTATTCCCCTCTCACCCTAATACGCCCTCTAGTTTTGGACTCCCCTATCCTGGGGAAAAAGACCTTGACTATTCACCCTATCCATGCCCCTCATGATTTTATAAAACTCTATAAGGTCACCCCTCAGCCTCCGGTGCTCCAGGGAAAATAGCCCCAGCCTCTCCCTATGGCTCAAACCCTCCAACCCCGGGAACATCCTTGTAAATCTCTTCCTAACCCTTTCAAAGTTTCACAATGTCTTTCTGATAGCAGGGGCAGTCATTTCAATTTATCACAATTTTTCTTCAAATAACACTGTTACCTTCTTAACTCCCAGTTCAATGGGTTTGATACAGTCCAGGAAGTCGTTTCTGGAATTGTTAACCACAGTGGAGACCGGGTGGAGCGCGATACTTTCTGTTGAGTGGATCAGTTTGAGAGCTTCCATGGCTGGAACCTGTCCATAATCCAACCACATCTTCACAGCCTCCTCTCCATCCAGAATTGCCGGCATTCTACCAGGGAGCAACGTGAGAGAGAGAGAGAAAGAAAGGGAGACCAGTTAAAACGCAAAGTGTTGCTGTGATGTCGGAATACGAGCTGGAGAGACAGAGGTGCAGGGAAGGAGGTCCAGAACTGGGCACATGGCCGATCCAGACAGAGTGCGTAAAATCAGGACGGCGCAAGGAGTCTGGAGTTTGAGGAGATGGCTGGAGGAACGCAGAGTTCAGGAGAGATGAGACCATGAAGAGACAAGGATAAAAATCTGCCATAGAAAGCATTTAAGGCCAGAGCATTTTCAAAGAAGGAGTTCGATATGGTTCTGAGGACAAAAGGGATCAAAGGGCATGGGATGAAAGTGGGAACAGGGGACGGAGTTGGACGATCAGCCATGATCACACTGAATGGCATAACAGGCTCTAAGGGCCAAATGGCCTACTCCTGCTCCCATTTCCTACATTTCAGAGACATTGTTTAACCAGGAGCCAGGACAAGTCAACAATCATGGAGATGGCAGGGGAACAGGGCAGGCTAGGATTCAAGATGACAGCAGGATGTCTTTGCCACAGAGAACTGACTTACACCAAAGACTCAAAGAACATGGGACCAACTCAACCTCAAAAGAGAGAAAACCACCTGAAACCTCCTTTTTTAGTTTTATTATTTTTCCATGAGATGGGGGTAACTCTGGCAAGGCTAGAAACTGCTGCCAATCTCCAAGCGTCCCTTGAACGGAGTGGGCAGGCCATATCAAAGTTAACAGTCAACTGTGGGTCTGGAGTCACATATAGACCAGACCAAGAATAACTGCACAGAGGCTGGTATCCCAGTCACCAGGTCACCCTTTATTTACACGTGGAGAGTCCAAAACACTGACCCAGCTCCCTCAGAGTGAACAAAACCTCTGACACTCCTGTTTATATCTGTCAGCCAGGGCTCCCTGATTTGAGTGGGTTAACAGCTCCAATCAGGGAACTCAGATTCTATAAAGGTTCACCTGGCTGACCTCGTTACAATCACTACAGACGGCAGATTTTCTTCCCTAATGGGCACTAGTAAACTGGATGGACTCAGCGATAGTATCATCCTCATCTTTACTGAGGTTACCCTGCAATTGTAGATTTATACACTAATTGAACAGCGATAAATTAATCAGCAGCCCATGTTGAGATTTGAACCACTGTCTCCACAGCATTGCTAGTCTGGCACCATTACCACTACGCCACTGTTTCGCCAGCTGCCCAACCCAGACGCAGCCTTGTGTAACACTAGCAAGTCTGGAGTAATGGCCACCAATGGTTATTATCCAATTTTCCCAGGCCCAACCCAGTCAGGAGGTATCCCTACCTTGGAGAAAAGAAACTTCTCAACTGTTGCCAGATTTCCAGTTTATTTTTCACTCGTTGGGTCAGCAAGGACCTTTTGATGAATTTGGATTTTAGAATTTGCAAAATGATTAGTTAACCGTACATTATCTGTATAGACAGAAGAGCTCAAATGGAGTCAGACACCAGATGGTAGTAAGGGATATGTCCCGGACTGAGTACAGTCTCCTGGTCTGGGGCTGAGGTTACAATTGTTAATTTATACTCTTCAACAGTAGGGACACCTACAGAAAACAGAGGGATGACAGAACCTATACATTGCCCACTCCCCCAATCCTACATCAAAAGTCTCCTGTAGGTTTGCGGTTCACACACCTGTCGTGGATCCAGTCCATGGCTTTGGAAGCTTCCACTGTGATGACAGTGTAGGTGTAAAGCTCATCACCGCCTCCTGGTGGCTTCCAGTGGTCAAACAGCCCAGCCATAGTGAGCAGTCTTCGACCCTTCCACTCTTCCTCACCTTCCTGAAGCAATATTTACAGACACAGAAAAGGTTAATTCACCAGGGATCTGTGGCTATATCACTGGACTCAGTAATGTAGAATCCCAATCTAATCTTCTAGGGATATGGGTTCGAATCCCACCACAGCAGGAGATGAAATGCGAAATCAATAAATATAAAACCTGGAATTTAAAATCTGGAACATACACAGGCGGTCTAGGATTTACAAATGTTCCACGAATATGGGGAGACAATGGCCTATTGGTATTATCGCTGGACTGTTATAATCCAGAGACCCAGATAACGTTCTGGGGACCTGGGTTTGAATCCCGCCACGGCAGATTCAATAAACATCTGGAATTAAAAATCTAATGATGACCGTGAATCCATCGTTGATTGTCGGGAAAACCCCATCTGGTTCACTAATGTCCTTTAGGGAAGGAAACTGCCATCCTTACCCGGTCTGGCCTACATGTGACTCCAGACCCACAGCAATGTGGTTGACACTGAACTGCCCTCTGGGCAATTAGGGATGGACAATAAATGCTGCTGAGCCAGCGACGCTTTCTTCACGTTAATGAATAAAGGGGAAAATAAAATCCGCTCTTATGGACAAGATTCTACGCTGGAATTTGTCAATTTTAAAGTTCCAACATACAAATGGTTCACTGTATTTATGAACAGTTATTTTATATTGTCTTCCAACTTGTGAACAAATTGACTCCTGTTCGCTCCCCGAGAACTGACCATAGTGGGAGCACATGCTGATTGTTGTAAAAATCAGTCTAGTTCACTCATGTCCTTTAGGGAGGAAAATCATTGTCCCCATTACTGAGACTAGTTGTACAAGACCAAACTTAAATATTGAAGTCCACCAGCTGCCTTGGTGTGGTTTGAGCCCAGATCTGAAGCTCTGGATGATGAGTGCAGTGACATTACCATTCCACAACCACTTCCCCAATGTACAGGATAGAAAACATCAGTAACCATTGCAGTTAAAATCCCATCTGGTTCACTCATGTCCTTTAGGGCAAGAAATCTACCATCCTTACCTGCTCTGGCCTACTTGTGACTCCAGACCCACGTTTACTCTTAAATGCTCTCTGAAATGGGTCCAGTGCCCTCTGAAATGGCAAAGCTACTCAGTTCAAGGGCAATTACGGATGGGCAACAAATGTTGGCGAAGCTCAGATCACATGAATGAAAGAAAAGAGACACAGAGAAACAGGGGCTGTTTTCTCTGGAGTATCAGAGGCTGAGGGGTGAACTTATAGGGGTTTATAAAATCATGAGGGGCACGGACAGGGTGAATAGTCAAGGTCTTTTCCTCAGGGTAGGAGAGTCCAAAACTAGAGCGCATAGGTTTAAGGTGAAAGGAGAAAGACTTGAAAGGGATCTGAAGGGCAACATTTTCACGCAGAGAGTGGTGCGTGTATGGAATGAGCTGCCAGAGGAAGTGGTGGAGGCTGGTACAATGACAACATTTAAAAGGCATCTGGATGGGTATATGAATAGGAAGGATTTAGAGGGACATGGGCCAAATGCAGGCAAATGGGCCTAGATTAGTTTAGAATATCTGGTCAGCATGGACAAGTTGGACCGAAGGGTCCGTTTCTTTGCTGTCCAGCTCTATGACTCTAGAATCGAAGTACAAGTGCTCAGATATAAAAACTGAACACCTCAGAACTGAACCAGGAAATGCAGGAGAAACTCAGCAGGTCTGGCAACATCTGTGCACAGAGAGAAACAGAGTTATTGTTTCAAGTCTGATAGGAATCTTCTTCAGAATTCAGATACCGGACTCAAAATCATTTCTCTCTCCACAGATGCTGCCAGATCTGTGGAGTTTCTCCAGCATTGTGTGTTTTTATTTCAGATTTCCAGCAACTGCAGTATTTTGCTACAGGTATCCAAGCCCTTTCCTCTCTACCCTCTTCAGGATGTGGGCATCGGGAGCTAGGCCAGCATTTATTGGCTGTCCCCAACAACCCTTGAACCAAGTGGCTTGATTTGCTGGACCAAATCAGACACCACTTGAGAGTCAACCACATTGCTGTGGGTCTGGAGTCACGTGTAGGCCAGACTGGGTAAGGGTGGCAGTTTCCTTCCCTAAAGGGCATTTAGTGAAACTCAACGAGATTTTCCAACAATTGATAATGGTTTCATGGTCAGTTATAGATTCTTAATTCCAGATTTTGACTGAATTCAAATTTCACTGTCTGCCTTGGTAGGATTCGAACATAGTACCCAGAACATATTTGGGACTCCAGATTAACAGTTTAGCTCGAGTGCCACTAGGCTATGACCAACTGCTAGCACAGGATCTTGTTCTGTAATGAACAACTGTTGCATTACATCAGCACCACGGGGACTGGGGAACATCATACCCCTCTTCCCATTCCATTTCGATTTAGCCCGTCGATCTTTCCTCACCCTTACTTTAATGGGTGACTGGGTGGTGGGTTTGCAAAAGAAGACATACAAAAGAAGGTTGCACTTCCAGCTAGGCCCGTGCTCCACCAAGTGTTTACAGGAACATTGCTGGTGTTTTTCCAAAACGTACAATTTATTATTTTCTGTCGTAATTGGGAAAGAGCAACATTACCACCCCTTACTCACATTGTCAGTCAGGTCAACACAAGGTTCAACACAGTAGCACTCCCCCATATCGCCTTACCAACCTCAGCACAGTGTCTCTCTCTTACCCCTGACCTATTCTTACCATTTCTGTCATCTTAAAGCAATTTAAATGGAAACAGAGTCCTGCAAAGAAGGTGGGTAAAAGAGATCGAGGAAGGTAAAGAATAAGAGACAAAGAGAGCATCAGAGGGAGACAAGCTGGGCCTGGATCTGAAACAAACCAAGGTGAAATGTTGACAGGGATATTTACAGCTCACTGAGCACCCATTGCATTGACAAGCAACGATACAGGGAACAGATAAAGGCACGCACTGCAGGTGAACACAGAACAGCGCTCCCAGCCCTTTGGCATCAGCCCCACGCACAGGATTAGACCAGGATCGACAGGGGTCCTTTCAAAACAGAGGTGGAGAGCAGAAGAGCTCAGGGCAGAAGGCTGTAAGAGGCAGGTGGCAATACTCTCTGATACATTCATTCTTAGTTAGGCTGCACTGGAATTTATGGGTCACAAAATAAAATAGAAGCACAGGCCATGAGGAAATGAAGCAAAGGTAACATAAGAATAAAACTTTTTCCACTCAGCGAGTAGCTGAGTCTGGGACGCACTGTCTGGAAATGTGGGGTCAGGTTCAGTTGAGGCACTGAAAAGGGGCATTAGTTTGTTATTTGGATAGAAATAATTTGCATGGATATGGGACAAGGGCAGGAGATCGGCACGAAGTAGATTAACCAGAATCTGCAGGATGGGCTGAATAGCCTCATTCTGCGCTGTAACGTTTCTGTGATCCTGAATGACATTACATATCCCTTGTGCAGGAGTGACACTCATTCCTCAAATCACTGACACCATTAATGCTGCGTGGTCTGGGAACAACACCTAGGGTGTCTTGCTTTATGAAACGCACTGTGCAGTGCAGGAACATGCTTTTAGTATGCTTGAATCACAAATTATTAAAAAAATAACAAGTGCAAAACAGTTCCGTTCAGATGTTGCCGAAAATTCCTTATTAGAGATTCAATTCAGTTCTAACAAAAAGAAAAGGCATTTTCTAAACATGGAAGCAAATTATTTACGTTCCCATTAAGGCTGCGAGGAGATGTCGAAATGTAACAGACTCTTGATAGATTCTGACAGAAAGACATTTTGACGGTGGTCTTTCCCCACTGCGCTTTGGTGACAGCTGCCTTAAGGTTTACTGCATCTCTCAGCATGTAGTCCTGCATCAGACCAGGAGCTGGCTGGTGCAGTGTGTTGGAGCAATGGTCTTTAAAGCAGTACGTTAGATTTCCTGTACTGCATACACAGACAGATAGCAGTCTTTGTTCACCATTTCCCCAACTCTTCTCTCTCTCTCTCTCTCTCTGGTTAAACACATTGAGCTAATCAGGAACCTCTCTCTCACTCTCTGATTACAGTCTTGGAAATAGGCTGACACTAGAACAATCCCCAGCTGAACTTGGTTACATTAATCACAGCAAAATAACTGATTCAGGTTAAAAGCTGATTGCAGGAACTCACTCAGCAAAATTACATCTTGTTTTTTCAGAAGGAAACAAAGAGGAACACTGTCTCTCTGTCGTTTGGTAACGTTTGTTTTGCAGTGATGAAGGTGATTAGAGTAAGGACTAATTCTGAACATTGGTGTAATCCAGCGCTGGTCACCATCCATTTGGGTCCACTATGCTGTGACACCACTTGGTCACCTTGATCTCTCTCCCACTCAACTCAATGTCCTCTCCCTCCCTCCCTCCATTCTGTCATTTCCTCTCCCTTCTCTCTCATTCCCTCAACCCCGCCCCCGCCATTTCTTTCCCAACTCTCTTATTCACTCCTCCCTCATCTCTGTCTCCATCTCTTTTGCTCTCCTCCCTCCCCCCTCAGTTCCTACTCTCCCTGCCTCCTCAAACCCCACTCTCCCTCCCCCCGAGCTTGTCACCAATTTACAGAAGGAACAGGTGGTTAGTTGACTTCCTCAGGGAGGAGAGGACACACTGGCTGCTATTGTGGGTCTGGGTCACTTGCTCAGAGGGGGCCATATGTCCAACAACTTCAGAGCTATTTAAATGGGCAGGAGGGCAGCTCACCATCCATTTGGGTCTACTGTGCTGTGAAACCACTTGGTCACTTTGATCTCCTTGTCTCTCCTTCCCTTCTCCCACCCCACTCCACGTCCTCTCCCTCCCTGTCCTCTGTCATTTTCTCCCCCTTTCTCTCTCTCTCGCATTCCCTGTTCCCCTCCTCTCATTCTGATGGTCGATATGAAAATGCGCATTGTGTTCTTACCTCCTCTTTCTCGCAGGTCTGCGGGAAGTAGATGAAGTAAGGTTGCTTCTCACCGTTTTGCCTCTGCCACTCGTAGAACCCATCAGCCAACACCACACAGCGCTGTCCTTTCATAAAGGGATCCTGTTGACAGACAGCTTACAATGGGTTATAGGCATTTTACAGCTGAGGCTGCCCAACCTGACTCAAACCAGCCCTGATATTCTTAAATTCATTCACGGGATGAGGGTGTCGCTGGCTAGGCCAGCATTTATTGCCCATCCCTAATGGCCCAGAAGACAGTTTAGAGCCACATTGCTTTTGGTCTGGAGTCATATGCAGACCAGGCCAGGTAAGGATGGCAGTTTTCTTCCCTAAAGGACATTAGTGAACCAGATGGGTTTTTCCAACCAGCACCAGTCTCCCATAAATATCCTGTTTCTCCACCAAGTGGCATGGAATGATGATGTTGATTCAGAGGACTGAGTCACCGGACCAGTTAATGTAGAGGCACCAGCTAATTTTTAAAAAATTCACTTATGGGATATGGGCATCGCTGGGCTGAGCCAGCATTTATTTAAATGGGCATTTACTGCCCATTCCTAATTGCCTAGACTGTAGTTAAGAGTCAACCACACTGCTGTGGGTCTGAAGTCACATGATGGCATATTTCCTTATCTAAAGAACAATTTACTTTTATGGCAAACAACAGTGGTTACATGGTCACCATTAGATCCCGTTTTTTGTAAAATCAGATTAAATTTTCACCATGTATTGTGGTGGGATTTGAACTCTTGTTCCTCAGAACATTAACCCGGGATTCTGGATGGCTAACCCAGTGACATTCCCAGTCTACCACCACCTCCCCATGTTCTGAAGCCATTGGTTCAAATCCCATCATAGGGAACAGGCAGAATTTAGAATTCAATTAATTAAGTCTGGAACAGTAAGCTAATAGAGACCATGAAACTTGTATCAACTGCTGTGAAAACTCAACTGGTTCACTAATAGACAGTGAGTCATACAGCACGGAAACAGACCCTTCGGTCCAATCAGTCCATGCCGACCAAGTTCCCAAACTAAACTAGTCCCATTTCCAGCGAGATCTTTCCTATTCACGAATGTATCCAAATGTCTTTTAAATGTCGTAACTCTACCGCACCTACCACTTCCTCTGGAAGTTTGTTCCACACAAAAACCACTCTCTGAGTAAAAAGTTGCCACTCATGTCCTTATTAAATCATTCTCCTCCCACCATAAAAATATGGCCCCTAGTTTTGAACTCTCCACCCTAGGGAGAAGACTCTTGTCATTCACCTCATCTATGACCATCATTTTATAAAGCTCTACAAGGTCACCCCTCAACCTCCTAGATTCAAGCGAAAAAAGTCCCAGGATTTCCGGTCTACTTTTATATCTCAAACCCTCCAGTCCCAGCAACATCCTGGTAATTTTTTCCTGAACCCTCTCCAGTTTAATAATATCCTTCCTATAACAGGGAGACCAGAACTGGATACAGTTTTTGAGAAGAAGCCTCAACAACATCCTGTACAACCTCAACATGATGTCCCAACTCCTATACGCAAAGGTCTGAGCAACGAAGTCACGCATGCTAAACGACTTCTGAATCACCCTATCTACATGTGACGCAAATTTCAAAGAATTATGTTTCTCAACCTGTAGGTCTCTCTGTTCTACAACACTACCCAGGACCATAGCATTATTTGTACAATTCCTATCCTTGTTTGCATTACCAAAATGCAATACCTCACATTTATCCAAATTAAACTCCATTTACCAGCCCTCAGCCCACTGATCCAATTGATCAAGATCTCTTTGCAGTCTTAGGTAAACTTCTTCACTGTCCTCTATACCACTGACATGCTGACCTGGTTTACGTGTGGATCTTCACCAACATCCCCTCGAAGCTACATGGCTGTTCAGATGTGCAGCCGTTCCAATGGTCTGTGTACAGCGATTAGCATCGACAACAGAATCCACTTCCAGTTCTGGACGTTCTACCACACACAGAGCTCAGAGAGCCACGTACCCGGGAAGAACATTAGAGGGTACGCTGGTCTACAGGTGACTTCTCCCGCTCGTAAAAGGAACAAGAACGAAAGGGCATCGATTTGTAGTGACACACAAAAGAAGCAACGGTGATGTAAGAAAAATCGTTGTTGCAGTGAGTCGTTAGGGTCTGGAATCCACTGCCTGAAAGTGTGGTGGAGGGCAGGTTTGATTGAAGCATTCAAGGGGGTGATCATTTGGATAGCAAAAAGCAGGAGATTGGCACTGGGTAATAATGCTCGATTGGACTACCAGAGCAGATATGATGGACTGAACGGCCTCCTTCCTATGTTAGTAACATGGTTGACTCTTAATTTTACAAAACGGTGAAGTAAGCCATTTAGTTACAAGAGTATTGAGGGTCGGGTAATAAATGTTGGTGCAGCCCCAGTGACACCCACGTTTCAGACAAGAGCTGAGGGTGGGGGAGGGTTGTGCAATCGGAGAGTTCAGTGAAGATCGAACCTTGTACGAATTCTTGTGCAGCATCCCGTCACTACGGCAGTTACTGGTGTTGTACAGCATTTTGGAGGGATCGCTCTCTCGGAACCAGGAGGGGATAAGACCCCACCGCATGGCCGCTAGCAGCTGCTCAGCACTCTCTGCATCCTGTCAATGCAAACAGACAGACAGATCGGTCATCCAACACCAAAGAACAATATTTACGACCGTCCCCCTCTTTGCTGTGTGTTCCGTTCCTGCCTCACGGCAGTTCCTGTTGGAAACAGCAAAAGTTCAGGGATTATAAGCAGCTGTGATGTCCCATAAAAGACTCCCATACATGGGATTGTTTGCCTGCACTTGTAGAGCTGTGGTGTAGCAGTAATGGTCATCCAGAGGGTCAGGCTAACGTTCTGGGGGCACAAGATCAAATCCCACCGTAGCACCTGGTGGAATTTAAATTCAGTGATAAATCATTAGCATTAAACCCATCTCTGTGATGGTGACCGTGAAACTACTGTCACCAGTCTTAAAAACCCATCTGGTTCACCAGTATCCTGCAGGAAAGGAAATCTGCCCAACGTGTGACTCCAGATTCTCAGCACTCTTTTTAAAATTAATTAACCGGATGTGGGCGTCGCTGGCTAGGTCACTATTTATTGCCCAACCCTCACAGTCAACCCCACTGCTGTGGGTCTGGAGTCATATGTTGACCAGGCCAGGTAAGGACAGCAGCTTTTGTTCCCTGATGGAGATTCGTGAAACAGATGGACTTTTTTTCTATTCATTTGTGGGAGGTGGGCGTTGCTGGCTGGGCCAGCATTTATTGCCCATCCGTGGCTGCCCCTTGAGAAGGTGGTGGTGAGCTGCCTTCTTGAACCTCCTGCATTCCTCCTGCTGTGGGTTGACCCACAATGCCCTTAAGGGAGGGAATTCCAGGATTTTGACCCAGCGACAGCAAAGGAACAGCGACGTATTTCCAAGTCGGGATGGTGAATGGCTTTGAGGTGATGGTGTTCCCATGTATCTGCTGCCTTTGTCCTTCTAGACGGAAGTGGTTGTGGGTCTGGAAGGTGCTGTCCGAGGATCTTTCTGTGATATCTGAAAGACTTCAGAAATCCGAAGCACATTTCAGACTTGGGAGTCTTTGTTCAGGATTCTTTTATGGTTAACACACAGTTAGGAAGGCAAGTGTTTGTTAGCATTCATTTAAAGACAGCTACAATGCAAGAGCAGACGTGTACTTCCGAGAGCATATAAAGTTCTGGCTGGAATGCATTTGGAATATTGTGAGCAGTTTTGGGTCATGTATTTAAGGAAAGATGAGCTGGCATCGGAGGGGGTCCAGGGAGGTTGACAAGAATGAAGAGCAATTGAGGACTCTGGGTCTCTATTTGAAGGAGTTTAGAAGGATGAGGGGGATCTGATCAAAACTTACAGAATGCTAAGAGGCTTGAATAGAGTGGACATGGAGATGTTGTTTCCACTGGCAGGAGAGACTAGCACCTGAGGACACCATCTCAGAGGGAAGGAACGACCCTTGAGAACTGAGATGAGGAGGAATTTCGTGACTCTGTGGATTTCATTGCTGCAGAGGCAAAGTCGTTGAATGTATTTACGACAGAAATAGATAGGTTATCAATTAGTCAGGGGATAAAAGGTTACAATGAAAATGCAGGAGAATGGACTGAGAAACATATCAGCCATGACCGAATGGTGAAGCAGACTTGATGGACTGAATGGCCCGACTCTGCTCTGATCTTCTATAGTCTTATTATGAAAGGTCAGAATCATAGTAGCACGTGAAAGGGCCTTTTGGCACATCGCTTCTGCACCAGTCAAAAGCAACTACCTAACTATCCCACTTGTCAGCACCTGCCCCACAGCCTACAATGCTTGACATCACAAGTGCATATCTAAATACTTTATAAATGTTATGAGGATTTTTGCCACTATCATCCTTACTGGCAGTGAGTTCCAGATTCCCACCAGTCTCTGAAACAGTTTTTCCTGTCAGGCCATCTCTCTGTCCATTGATGCTGCCAGACCTGCTGAGAGTTTTTGGCATTTTCTATTTTTATTTCAGACTTCCAGCATCTGCAGTGTCTTGCTTTCCGTGGTCGTGATAACTGCATTTACTCAAGTAACTGCTGATCTTGTGTGAGAATCAATCCCTCACTTTAGTCCCCAAATCTTTCACTTTTCACAGTCCTTGCTGTTTACTGGAGCAGGGTTCAGTCAGAGTCATACAACACCTTTCAGTCCAACTTGTTCATGCCAACCAGGTTTCCCAAACTAAACTAGTCTCCGTTGCCTGCGTTTGGTATGCATCCTTCTAAACCATTCCTATCCATGCATCCGTCGAAATGTCTTTTAAATGTTGTAATTGTACCAGCCTCTACCACTTCCTCTGGCAGCTCATTCCATACACGCACCACCCTCTGTGTGAAAAAGTTGCCCCTCAGGTCCCTTTTAAATGTTTCCTTTCTCACCTTAAACCTCTGCCCTCTAGCTTTGGATTCCCCTAATCTGGGAAAAAGACCTTGGCTATTCACCCTATCCATATCCCTCATGATTTTATAAACCTCTATACGGTCACCCATCTGCCTCTGATACTCCAGGGAAAATAGCCCCAGCCTATTCAGCCTCTCCCTATAGCTCAAACCCTCCAATCGTTGCAAATTTTTTCTGAACCTTTCCAAATTTAACATCATCCTTCCTATAGCAGGGTGACCAGATTCATTTGCAGTCTTCCAAAGGTGGTCTCAATGTCTTGTACAGCAACAACATGATGTCCCACTCCCGTACTAAATGCTCTGACCAATAAAGGCAGGTGGGAACAGTCTCGTGTTTCTTTTTTTAAACAAAATGGTTGGTACCAATCAGAACTGAAGTGATTTCTCCGGCCAGATCAATTCAGGTTGATTAAACACATTTGTCCTCAACATGACCTTTAACAGTTTTCTACCTTACAAAATGCTCCTAGCCAACATTACTAATGGACAAGTCAGATCCCAGCACAAAATCCAGCGTAGCATAAAACCCAAAATACTCCAGACGCTGAAAATCTGAAACAAACACACAACACTGGAGAAACTCAGCAGCATCTGTGAGGCAGAAACAATAAGTCTCTCTCCAGCATTCTCGGTGTTTGTTTCCTTAAAATCTTGCTCGATAGAACCTTTTCTTTATAATTTATTAATGACAGTCCTTCACTGAAACACAAGCACATAGGGCTGCAGAACTGGCTTTTACAATAAAACAGAAGCTTATTACAAAACAAAAGTTAAAAAGAAATAAACTGAACCAAGCTTTCTAAGTATAACACGTTGAATAATTTCAAAATAGACAGCAAAACTAAAATCCCATTTATTCCCCAACACTAGCACTTTACAGTTAACCAAATCTGTTGAGTGGATAAGGAAGAAAACAATCTGTAGCTGTAACTTATCTGTGTTTTCCCCTCAGTTCTAGATTGGTGAAGGCTTTGCCATTAATAGGTACACAGCTGAAAGTATAGACTTTCTCATTATTAGTCTGTAGCGATCTAACTAAACACTTTTGGTCTGAAAGTTTCACAAGTTACACTCTTTCATTGAGGTAACTTATTCCCTAACTGCTCTGAACAATCTCATTTTGTAGACTATCCTTACTTCTGACCCCAGTCAGGTCACGTTCAAATGAAATACAAAAGCTTTCGAGCTGAATCGTGTTTTTTTAAAGAAGTTGCTCATCCAGTACTCTGCTTGAGCTCATGGCTTTATGGTTTCTCTCTCCTTTCTTAAATCCCCAGGCTAAAAATAAACTTCCATTATCATTCCAGGTGTCCTTGAAGTCACCTGGTCTGGTTGATTGTTCCTGAATTTAAAGTAAAATTCGAGAATCATTAGAGGCTCCTATGATGCTGCTTGGCCTGCTGTGTTCATCCAGCCCTGCACCTTGTTGTCTCGGATTCTCCAGCATCTGCAGTTCCTACTATCTCTGGGAAAATATTTAGTTGAGATGAGGCAGAGATCAGGGCAAAGAAGGATGAGTGGCATAGATACAGTGGATAGTCAGAGACTTTTTCCCAGGGCAGAAATGACTATTACGAGGGGGCATAATTTTAAGATGATTGGAGGAAGGTATAGGGGAGATGTCAGAGGTAGGTTCTTCACTCAGAGAGTGGAGGGCGTGTGGAATGCGCTGCCGGCAGTGGTAGTGGAATCAGATACTTTAGAGACTTTTAAGTGACTCTTGGATAGGCACATGGAGGATAGTAAAACGTGGGGTCTGCAGGGTAGATTGATCTTAGTAGGATAATAGGTCGGCACAATATTATGGGCCGAAGGGCCTGTACCATGCTGTACTGTTCTACGTTCTTTTAAGCGCGAAAGCAAGTCTGTTCACCATTAAAACACTGCATCTAATCCAAAAGATTCACTGCAGTTTGACTTGCTGTGCAGACATCCACCATCAGCCATATTGAGGCAAGCTCAGCATCAGTAAAGATATTTGCATGGGCTCTGCTGTTTCCAGACGACGTGTTGAATACTTTGGAAATAGACGCTCTGTTTTCATAATGTCTCAGTTCCCAGTCAAACATCAGGAATCCCAGTGGACAGCCTGGTACAGTAATTCAGAGCCACGACCAGTAATCAGAGTAAGGGTCATCACTGGCCCTTCCGAAGACCCGGAACCCCTTTGAATGTGGTCAGGGCTTTTCACGCCAAAGTTTTAGGCAAAAAGTAGGGGGTTGATGTTTAGATGGATGCATACAGTAATTCCCATCCTGGACACACTGAACTCAGAACGGGACTTTAACCAAACAAACCATACCCCTGCCACAGAAATGTTTGAGAAAGTTAACTCAGACACAAACTACGGAGAAAAATATTCACTGACTTTCCATTTATCCCTTTCTTTTCATTTTGGCTTGATTGCAAAGGACAGAAAAGATTGATTTGTGTCGATGAAAGGAGATTAGGAGCAGGAGTAGGCCATTCAGCCCATCAAGTCTACCCCACCATTCAATATAATCGTGGCTGATTGTACACGTCAATGCCTTTTATTCAGCCCATCCATATAGCTCTGTAAGCCATTGAAAGATTTCTGATTACCAATCTCTATCATAGAATCCCTACAGTGCAGATAGAGACCATTCAGCCCATCATGTCTGCGCCAACCCTCCGAACTGCATCTCACCCTGACTCCCCCACCCACCCTATCCCCATAACCCCACATTTAGCACGGTCAATCCTCCTAACCTGCACATTTTTGGACTGAGACAGGAAACCAGATCACCCGGAGGAAACCCATGCAGACACAGGGAGAACGTGAAAACTCCACATGGACAGTCACCCGAGGGTGGAATCGAACCCGGGTCCCTAGTGCTGTGAGGCGGCAGTGCTAACCACTGAACCTCCGTGCCACATATCTTTAACATAGTCAAGGACTGAGCTTCCACAGCTCTCTGTGGTAGGGAATTCCATAGATTCACAACCTTCTGAGTATGGAAAAAAGTTCTCTTCATCGTGGATCTAAGTGGCACCCCCTTCATTTTTAAATTGCACCCCCTGGTTTTAGACTCCCCAGTTAGGGGAGCAATTTTATTGAGTTTCCTCTGGGTGCTCCGGTTTTCTCCTACAGTCCAAAGATGTGCAGGTTGGATGGAAGTTCTGAGGAAGGGTCACCGGACCCGAAACATTAACTCTGTTTTCTCCTTCACAGATGCTGCCAGACCTGCTGAACTTTTCCAGCAACTTAGTTTTTGTTCCCGATTTACAGCATCCGCAGTTCTTTTGGTTTTTATGCAGGTTGGATGGACGGGCCATGCTAAAACGTTTCACTTGCATCTAGCCTTTTAAATATGTTAAAATCTAAGGTAGTTTCGCTGCAGAGACTAGCTTTGTAGACTCCACACTTATTAATTTAATTCAAATTTAATTCAGCTGTTATGGTGGAATTTGAACACATGTCCCCAGTCTGGGCTCCTGAATTAAAGTGACATTCCCTTCTACAGCACAGCGCTCAAGAGACCTGCCTAAACAGCAAGATGCATAAAAAGGATCAAGGTAAACAACGCGAGGAATTACTTTGTGGAAGTGCCTTTTGGACACCAGCACTGCGTTGTTGGAGTGTGGGCTTTTGTTGAAAGAAGGCTTGTACTTATCACGGTCACCACCTCTCCACTCTGGGGCCCTCCTCCTCCCTCGCCCATCTCGATAGGCACAGGCACGTCTGATTTGGTCGGCGGCCAGCGAGCACGCAGTACGCCCGCACATGGCTGTGAGACACACTCTCGGCACAAATCGTTAGATGTTACGCCTGCAAAAGAGATGATAAGACTGTAAGGACGTTGTTGTGGCCGAGTGATTAAGGGAATGGATTAGAAATCCGTTGGAGTCACTCCCGCGAAGGTAAAAATCCTGCTGACTACGATCCTCACGGTGGCTCAGTGGTCAGCACCGCTCTCTCTCGGCGCCAGGGACCCAGGTTTGATTCCACCCTCGGGTGACTGTTCACGTGGAGTTTGCACATTCTCCCCATGTCTGCATGGGTTTCCTCCAGGTGCTCTGGTCTCCTCTCACAGTCACAAAGATGTGCAGATTGGGTGGATTGGCTGTGGGGAATGCAGGGATAGTGTGGGGAAGGTGGGAGGGTCAGTGTGGGTCAAATGGTCTGGTTCCACACACTAGGGAGTCTATGAAACATGTTCAGTCCACATAATGGCACAGGGTGAGTGGGGAATCCAGACTAATCCCAAAATTCAAACCTTTTATATGATGTACCTTGAGCCCTTTGCATCCACTGGCTCATAACTCATACATACCCATCGACCACCCTCACCACCCCAATAAACCTTCTCTGAAATGTAATCCTGCAGGACATTAAATGTCAGAAAAAGCAGGTTTTCTGATCAATTAACAAACTGAGAGACATCGTCTCTAATCATGATCCCGCGAGGGAACGGGCTGGAAAACGAAGTGATACTGTTTCCTGATTTCTGATGACCTGGGAGCCCAGAACCAGGGATCAGAGGCCTAATGATACCAGGCGGCCATTTAGGATTGAGATGAGGAGAAATTTCTTCACCCAGAGAGTGGTGAGAGCGTGCAATTCTCTGCCACAGAAAATGGTTAAGGCCAAAACATTGAATGTTTTCCAGAATGCATTAGATATAGCTCTTGGGGCTAAAGGGTATGGGGAGAAAGCGGGAACAGGGTACTGAGTTGGAGGATCAGTTGTGATCTAATTGAATGGAAGAATGGGCTCGAAGGGCTAAACGGCCTGTTCCTGCTCTTATTGTCTATGGTTCTATTTTTATTCAATTTCAACACACCTAGGGTGGAATCACTCAGAATGGCAAATTTGGAAGGGGAAAAAAAAAAGATATTAAAGTTCTAAGCAACAATTCAAGAAAATTACCAAGGCAAATGCTTTAGGAACTAGTCAAAACGCTCCCTGCCCTTAACCACACCCCTACCTCATTCTCTCCATCACCTCCGTAACCCCACCCTTCACTTGTACATAAATGGGGTTGATTAGTTTGGATGGCTGCCTGTGATATAGAGCGATACCAACAGCGTGGGTTTAATTCCTGCACTAAGGGTTACCACATAGCACCTGGCTTCTCAACCTCCTGCCTCATCTGAGGCAGCGACCCTCAGCTTAAACCACCACCAGTTGTCTCTCTTTGATGAGAGAGCAGCCCTATGGCTTGGTAGGACTATGGAGACTTTAACCTTGTACACAAACAGGACTACACTTAGGGATACGGGCAGTGGTTTAGTGATAATGTCATTGGACTAGTATAGTGGGTTCTGCTATAACATGTGTTCCGTCAAAGCGAATTGGCTGTAACGCGATTGATGAATAGGGGAACGCTATTTCTAAAACACAAACTTGCGCTGGCTATAACACGATTCCATTGGTGCGCAGGGGAGTATGCGTTGACTCTTAATTGTTAAGGATGGGCAATAAATGGGGGTGGCACAGTGGCTAGCACTGCTGCCTTACAGTGCCAGGGACCTGGGTTCGATTCCACCCTCGGGCGACTGTCTGTGTGGAGTTTGCATGTTCTCCCCGTGTCTATGTGGGTTTCCTCTGGGTGCTCCGGTTCCCTCCCACAGTCCAAAGATGTGCAGGTTAGGGTGGATTGGCCATGCTAAATTGCCTGTAGTTTTCAGGGGTGTGTGGGTTATAGGGGGATGGGGATGGGGATGGGTCTGGGTGGGATGATCTGAGGGTCAATGTGGACTTGTTTGGCCGAAGGGCCTGTTTCCACCCTGTAGGGATTCTATGATCAGGACTGTTTCACAGGCTCTGTGTTGTGAGTATGTACAATGTTAGTGTCAAAAAAACAGTCCCCGTGCTAGCATCACGAGATCATTTTGTGGGCTTTGTTGTGAAGTGCTTTCTGTAAGAGGTGCAGTACAACCTCCTCCCCATCAAGACATTTGACATTTTTCAAGGTAAAGTGTTAAATTTACCTTTATTTCATTATTAGATAGAAGTTAAACATTTATTCAAACTGTGCCATCCTTTGTGTTAGGCTTTTGAGTGATTTTTGAGCGATTTTGAGCGATATATTTTGGTGGTCTGCCCCTAACACTACTTTTCCCACAGGCCCCGTTACTTTTATAGCGCGAGTTTCTATAAAGTGGTGATGCACAGGAATGCAACTATTGCGTTATAGCAGAAACGACTGGATTTTCGAACCCCAGACTAATGCTGCAGAGACATGGGTTTGATTGGCACATGGCAAAATGTGAATTCCATGAAAGAAAATCCAGGAATTAAAAGCCAGCCTGTAAAATTCCAACTTGTTTACTAATGTCCGTTTGGGAAGGAAATCTCCCCTTACTTGCTCTGACCATGTATGACCCCCAGACCCACAGCATGACTCATAACTTCCCTCTGAAATGGTCTAACAAGCCCATCATTTCAAAGGCAACTAAGGATAGACTATAAATGCTGGCCCAGTCAGCAATACCTACATCCCATGAATAAACTTAAAAAAAACTTCAAAAGAGTTTCCAAAATAAAAGTGAGAGCTGGCAAGGCTATGGGCCTAGTGTGGGAAAACAGAACTAATGTAGGTAGTAGCATCTTTTTCACAGTACATACTTGATGGGATGAAGGGCCTCCTCTACACTGTATGATTCTATGAAAGACCACCTGAAAGATTTTTTTTAAGATAGCTAGGAAGGTAAGTAAAATGTTTAAGAGGAGGACAAGAAGTTGGCTTTTGTTGAGCGATGTTGATGACTGACCAACCAACTGCAAGCCCCTAGAGGACTTTCTGACAGTTGGAAACATTTCCACTTGATTAAGAGTCCATTAGTAAGCTGATGCCCTAATGATATCTTGCAGCCCTTCAACACTGAGGGCTTCTATAGGAAAGATGTTGTTAAATTTGAAAGGGCGCAGAAAAGGTTTACAAAGATGTTGCTGGGACTGGAGGGTTTGAGCTATAGGGGGAGGCTGAATAGGCTGGGGCTATGTTCCCTGGAGCATCGGAGACTGAGAGGTGAGGTTTATAAAGTCAGGAGGGGCATGGATAGGGTGAACAGCCAAAGTCCTTTTTCCTAAGGTGGGGTATTCCAAAACTAGAGGGCATAGGTTTAAGATCAGAGGGGCAAGATTTAAAAGGGACCTAAGGGGCAACTTTTTCATGCAGAGGGTGGTGTGTATATGGAATGAGTTGCCAGAGGAAACGGAAGCTGGTACAATTACAAAATTTAAAAGGCATCTGGATGGGTATTTGACTAGAAAGGGCTTAAAAGGATATGGGCCAAATGCTGGCAGATGGAACTGGGTCAGTTTGGGATGTCTGGTCAGCGTGGACAAGTTGGACTGAGAGGTCTATTTCAATGCTGTATGACTCTACGACTCTGCATTCCTCAAAATCTGTCCTTTTCATTCCTTCACTCAACTGGTGACAACAATACCTTCAGTGGTGTGGACTGTGAAGCCTAGAATTCCCACCCTAAACCCCTCCACCATACCACACAGTGGCCAACATAAAGCCCTGCTTAAGATCTACCCCAAGGGATCAATCTTTTGGGTACTTGTCCTACATCTAAATGTTTTGGTTCTCTGAAAATGTTCTTTTGTCTGATTTTGCCCCAGGGAAGAACCTAGTAATCTTTCACTATGTTAAAAACAGTATACAAATGCGGTCTAGGCCCGAAACGTCAGCCTTTTTGCTCCTATGATACTGCTTGGCCTGCTGTGTTCATCCAGCTCTGCACCTTGTTGTCTACAAATGCAAACTCTTGTTTTGAACTGGTCAGACAACTAGCTTACTCTTGCTTTTGAGCCAGTAAGTTCAATAGCTTTAGCTGGTTAAAAATCAACCAGTGATACACACACACATAGGGCACTTGACTTGTTAAAACGTAGTCAAAAGATTTGCCATTCTGCTGTCTTCAGTCAGATCGGAACATTTCAAAAATTTCCTGTTCTCTGTCCAACGGGAGGGGGCCTATTAAGAACTCCCACCAGAATTTTCTGACTGGAGATCTCACCAAGCATTACTGACTGACCTCCGAGTAGAGATTCTTCCTCACTAATGTCCTTATGGCATTCTTTACTCTCATGGCTATCCCTCCTCATGTCGCTGTGTCTGATTTTTTAAATATATGGAAACCCTGGATTATTTATTTTCCATCTTCAGTCACCTTGAAACCATGTCTCAGTAATGGTGATTAGATCTAAATCACTCTCGCTATTTGCGCCACAGAACTGTTAGAATGAAGGAGGAGGCTGTTAGGCCTACTGCTTCTGCACAGCATCTATTACATAATGCTAGTCTCTTCCGTATACCCATGGACACCATTTCTATCCCAATAACCATTCAACGCCCCTCTTGAACACCTTAATTGAACCTTGCTCCACCACATTCCAGGCAGTACATTCGAGACCCTAATTACTCGCTGAGTGGAGAAGTTTTTTCTCACATTACTCCTGCTTCATTTGCACATCACTTTAAATCTGTGCCCTCGTGCTCTTTTTCTGAGTCGGAACAGCTTGTTCTGATCTATCTGTCCAGTCCACTCATGATTTTAAAAAACCTGTTAAATATCCTTCACTCCAAGGAGAACAGCCACAACTCAACAACCAAGTTAAACATCACCTCCCTGGCTCTTGCACCCTATGCCTCTACTGATAAGCCGAGAACACTGTACGGTGTATTAAATGTTGTTTTCCACCCGCCCTGTCACCTTCAAATGATCTGTGCACACATACCCCCAGCACGTGCACACCCTTCAGAATTGTACGTATTTCAGTGTTCTTCCTGGCAAAGTGCATCACCTCACACTTCCCTGCATTGAATCTCGTCCCTCTCCTATCTGCCCACTCGTTAAGGCCCTTTTGGAGTTCCACACTGTCCTTCTCACGGTTCACAATTCTTCAGAGATTCATGTAATCAAGAAAGCACAACAACTCCTACTTCCCCACAAGGCCAAGGAAATTTTGCATTTCAGCAAAGACTCTTACCAATTTTTATAGATGGACTGTAGACAGAATTCTATCTGGATGCATCACAGCAACTGCTCTCCCCAAGACCACAAGAAACTACAGAGTTGTGAACATAGCCCAGTCCATCACACAAACCAGCCTTCCATCCATTGACTCCATCTATACTTCCTGCTGCCTTGGGAAGGAAACCAACATAGTCAAAGACCCCTCCCACCCTGTTTACACTCTCTACCACCCTCTTCTGCTGGGCAGAAGATATATTTTTGAATATACGAACAAATAGATTCAAAAACAGCTTCTTCCCTGCCGTTACCAGACTTTTAAACGGACCTCTTAAATGTCAATTCTGATCTCTCTTTCTTTTTGCTGCAGGTATAAAACTGTATTCTACACTCTGTTCTGCTACCACAAGGCACTTTGTATGGTACGATCTGCCTGTATAGCATTCAAAACAACTTTTCACTATATCTTGGTACATGTGACAACAATAAATCAATCAATAATCTCTAGTATCATTGGGAACCCATCCCAATGGAATAGTAAAGAGATAGTAGAAACTGCCGATGCTGGAGAATCTGAGACAACTAGGGGTCTAGACCCAAAACATCAGCTTTTATGCTCGGCCTGCTGTGTTCATCTAGCTCTATACCTTGTTGTCCCAATGGAATAGTATTTCTTTTTTCTGAACTGCCTCCCCACAAAATACTGGCATCAGTGCCCCACGGACTGTAACATCACCCTCACACCGCTCTTTGGGTTGTGTGTTTAAATTCGCCACCCTCCTTCATCCCATCTCATTTGGTTGGTGACTAGGGAAACAATCCTGAGTTGATACAGGGTGGCTCAGTGGTTAGCACTGCTGTCTCATAGCGCCAGGGACCTGGGTTCGATTTCATGCTCAGACGACTGTCTGTGCAGAGTTTGCACGTTCTCCCCGTGTCTGCGTGGGTTTCCTCCCACAGTCCAAAGATGTGCAGGTTAGGTGGATTGGGCCATGCTAAATTGTCCGTAGTGTTCATGGATGTGCAATTTCCATGGGAAATGCAAGGTTACAGGGATGGGTCTAGGTGGGATACTCTTTGGAGGGTCTACGTGAATTCGATGGGCTGAATAGCTTCCACCCTGTAGGGTCTCTGATATTTTTAAATGTTCTACTTTTCTTTAAAATTTGGACCCTATTTCTTCAAACTCTCACAGGAATGACATTCTGCTATGTCGCTGGTTCCCATGTGGTCCACGACAAATGGATTCCCTACGTCGATAACTAGGAGGAATGACAGTAAGTGGTAGGAGGTTCAGAGGGGGATTCGAAGGAACGCTATTTCACCCAGACAGTGCAGGGTACCTGAGGTTTCACTGCCCGGGAGGTTGCCACAGACCAAAACCCCTGTAACGTTTAAATAATCGGGTACCTACCTGGAATTGCTGTGAACTACCAGGCTACAGAGCAGGAACTGAAAAGGGGGATGCGAGTGGATGACGAGTTGTTGACTGCAGATACGACTGGCTGAAAGGCCCCTTTCTGGGCTGCTAACTTGTTTGATTTCACTCGCAGGACGTGAGAAATATTTCTTGACACCAAGTCGGCAGATTTTGGCCGTTAGAAAACGCACCTGCAGCAAGCACCGAGCTACACAGATGAGGAAAGTTATAGATCTGATATCCGGACTCTGCACCGCAGGGACAGCTGGTCTAAACCATGTGGGGATAGTGCTGCAATATTTGACCTCAGTGCCTTTCTTATTTAGAGGAGGGGGGAGTCCACTCCTGATACTCCCAAATGAATCCCGATAGACAATGTGTGTACACATACTGGGTGAGAATAGAGCGAAGTGTGGCAATTACAGTGCACATTATAACAGCAAATGCATGAAAAATTATTTTGAGCATCCGAACTGGTTACACAAATCACCACCCACAGAAGAGAGGAAACCCTGCAATAAATATAATGACAGCAGTCAGAATGAAACTAGCAATTTACAAATTACTTTACAAAACACCAGAGATTATTATTTGGAAAAGCACTGATTACTCAATACAGTACTTTGTGACTTTCTTTAAGGAGAACATATTTCTAACTGCTCAAATGCACAAAAAACACTGTTTAACATCCTAAAGTGTGTGACAGACAGTGAGCAAACTAGTTGCAACTTTACATAAAGTTGCATTCTTTGTTGGCGTTTCATAACTAAACTAATTCAACATCTCATGTCTCGAGATTGGGTCAAATAAACTCAAAAACTTTTCAGTAATGGCAAATGTTAAGGACAAAACTACCTTTTGAATCTCAACCGTTCCCCAGTCCCTTTTCAAAAACAAATTATTGATAACAATGATACAAAAAAGTTAAGTAAATGAACCACTGATACTTTGTATGAATGAAAAATTATTCATGCAGCATTTTTACCACAATATGACAGCCCAAGGCCACTCCACAAAATCAAAATATGACACAGAACTACATGGGGAGGTATGTGGTCAAAAGTTTAGTGAGAGTGGCATCAAAAAGGGGAGAGTGAGGTTGGAAAGAAACCCAAACAACAAGGCACCAAAAATAAGAAAAAGAACTGGGGATGCTGGAAATCTAAAACAAAGACAGAAATTGCTGGAGAAACTCAACATGTCTGGCAGCATCTGTGGAGAAAAAAAAACAACAGTATTAACGTTTCAAGTCCAGCTCTGCTTTCTCTCCACAGATGATGCCAGCCCTGCTGCGTTTCTGCAGCAATTTCTGTCGTTTACTTACAAAAGTCACCTGATGTGATCCTGCATGTTCTTCCTTTTTGAGACTAGATCAGGGCCACTCCGGGTTTTTCA